AGTGATTGCATAGCATTGCAGTGATTGTGTTGTGAACAATGCATTCACTATAGCAGTGAACAGTTTGCCATTGAATCTGTGATTGAGTTGTGTTTGTGTTTGTGTTTGTCATTACATGTATTATACTGTAGCCTACAGTGTGGCCATCACTCACACCACTGACCACTGACCACATCTGACAATCACTACCACCACTACCATCACTGTCACCAAATCTATTGCATATCTTAATGATTGGTCCATAAAATGAGATGAGATTTAATGAAATAATCCTTTCAGTCATATCTGCAGTACTCATAAGCAATACATTGAGATGTGATTCAGTGATCACTAATGTGTCCCAAAGTGAGCTCATTGTGGCCCAAGTGGTGGCCAAAGACGTGGCCAAAGAGGTGGCCCAACACAACCACATCACTCACACGGACCGCAACCAACACTTATGTAAGTCATATGATATGATGGATGAGCTGTTGATGTGTTTGTATTATATGTTTATATGATAACCGCAAACAGACTTCTGTGGGGAACCGCCACAAGTGATGAATGGTGTGTCAAATCTGATGCGCAATCAAAAGCACAATGTCTTCAAAGTGGGAGAGATAGCCATCTATTCCTGTGATGTGGGCTATGAGTGGAAGTCCGGCAAACAAGAGACCCAATGCGTGCTCAGCGACGACCCGTCACATCCCTCTCACCCCTCGAGTCCTCGTTGGCAACCCATTGACCTCATCTGCGAACGTATGTATCGATGCAAGTGATGATGGATATAGTGATGACTGTGTTCTGTGTTTGGGTGACAGCTGTCAGGTGTGAAGATCCGGGTCATGTGGAGGACGCGACGCGCCGAGTGTTGGGTGACTTCCTGTACAACACAAACGTGAACTACGAGTGCAGAGAGGGTTTCCGTACGATTGGGGCGCCGTTCCTGACGTGTAAATCGGACGGCACGTGGAATAGAGCCAAACCTAAGTGTCAGAGTATGTCATCCACACAGACATTGTGTCCTACGAGTGATCCCATTGTACTAATGCTTTGTTGGTTGCATTGACAGAGAAAAGGTGTCCTCTATTGGAAAGCCTACCGAACGGACGTATTGTGTACAGCGATGTTGACAGGAGGACAGACAGCAAACTGGAGTACATGTGTAACCCTGGCTTCAAACTGAACGCCATGAACGCCATCAGGTATTGCAGACAAGACGACTCGTGGAGTGAAGTGCCGGATATGAACGACACACTACTCGAGTGCCTTGTGGTGAGGTGTGAGCCCCCCGTCCGTCCACACAGTGGTCTTCGTGTTCTGCCCTCCCGTTCCAAAAGTGGCAACTCTTACAAACCGGGAGATGTGATCATATTCTCGTGCGATACCAGTCATAAGACAAAGGCCTCCTCCAAATGCCTGGCGGACGGCCAGTGGTCTCGTGGGCCGCCCCACTGTCCCGAGAGGAGCAACTCATGTGCAGCCATTGGTGAGTTAGCTCACGGCTCCTACAACACGACCGCTGCCTCCAAGTTGTCGGTTGTGAAGGCCAGCACTCGACTCGACTTCTATTGTGACGACAGCTATATCTTAGAGGGCTCTGCGAGTCTGACATGTCTTTCAAGCGGTGTGTGGAACGGGACGGTCCCCAAGTGTGCCTTCGCCGGTGCCTTACGTGATAGCCAGAGCTCTCGACTCACAATTCTGATCACATCGATCGCCGCACTGGTAGTGATAGTCTTTGTGATCAGTTGTGTTGTGGTGTGCCGTTGGCGCCAACAGCAGGTGCAGCGGCGCCGTTGGCAGCAATACTTCGGTCATTACAATCACCGACAAAGCAAAACCAATATAATGCTCAACCAAAACGAAATGAAATGCTTCCGACAAACGCCACCCAAACCTACAGTTCCTGTCACCGACTTGTGACTTATTATGTGTTTTGTTTGCATTTCTAATTGCATTTCGAGAATTTAACTATTATTTGTAAATACCGTAAGTTATATATTTGACATCGTTTGCAACCATTGAGATATAAATGTCTATTTAGCAGTTTTCTCGAAGAGAAACACATTTGAAACTCATTTTTATTATCATTTCTTTAATTTTATATTATATTATACTTAAGTTTTTACCATTTAATTCATACTTTCAATTGATAATTCATATACCAATCAGTGATTCTTCAATTTGACACTACTCTGCGCCTGAATTACAATATATTCATATCAATACTTTTTATCAAATTATTTATTTTGTAAATTTTTATCCAAATAATTTTGTATGAATTTTATAAATACTTAAATAAAATTTATTTAGAAGTTATTTATTGAGAAGTATTTATTTATTTATTCAATTCAATGCAAGAATACAATCAAAGAGTAATCTACTTAAGAGGTATGAATCTGGAGGAGTGTGTGGCGCCAATACCGGGTCGTCCGTGTTTGACGGGCTTATACGTGATGGAGAACTCTCCCAAATAGTGGCCAATCATCTCGGGCTTGATCTCCACCTGATTGAACGTTTTGCCGTTATAGACGCCCACCACTGAGCCCACCATCTCTGGCATCACAATCATGTCTCGCAAGTGGGTCTTCACGACTTCCGGCTTCTCGAGCGGTTGGCACTCCTTCTTCGCTTTACGCAACTTCTTCATCAGAGCCATGGGTTTGCGTTTCAGTCCGCGAGACAATCGGCGTCTCACTCGACACGTGAACAACTCCATCAACTCCTTGTTGTTCTTGTCGAGCAACTGATCCAGGTCCACACCTCGGAACGTGAACTTCTTAAACGTACGCTTTTTGGGCACTTGACTCGACTCGTCCTCCATGGTTCACTTGATTTGATTGAATTGACACAATCGACACAATCGATGGACACCTCTTCACACGATGGATGAGGAGAAAGGAAAGGGAAACGAGTGATCACTTCAACACATGGGTCTCACACTAACACCGTTGCCGTTGTTGTGATTGATTCACTCATTCATACATTACGTGCACTCACTGTACAGTGCATTGGCGTGCGATCAGTGACTGCGAGTCTGTGACCAGTGATCACTACATTAGCCAATCATTTGGTGATTCTCCGATTCAGTGATATAGCTGTGACTTGTGGTCAATTGGTTTGCATTGGTATCATAAGTAGGGCTACACTTATGACTACACTTTTTGGTGATATGAGTTGTTCAGACACTGAGACACAAGTATTTGTTATTCGCATGCCTGAGGCCATCAACAAGAACTCACTGAACGGTTGTCTCATAGATCTGAATGTCTGCAGACATGACGCAAGGGTGGAGCGCACGGATCAGTTGCCAGTGACAGTCACCTATTGCTATGAATGCGATCCAAAACAAACATCAGAAACGATGAACTCAGTGTCACTGATGGCCATCAATGATGGCACAGACCAGCACCTGAAGACTGACATGAATTGCCGTCTCAGCGGATACATTGCATTCCGAGTGGACCATCGAGACAATGGACACCACGCAGACAATGGTCCTCCTCTTGACAAACGACATGTCATTGAGCCCATGGATCACTTCATCACAGATAACACTCACCCAAAGGAGTGTCACTTTTCGATGAAGAATAAGAGGAAAAGAAACAAATAAATGAAATATGATATGAAATGTGACATAAATGGTGACATAAATTGTAAAACATTATACATTTTTATTAAATTATAAAATATTAAATTACTTTAGAAATAAGTTTGTATTGTTTTCCAAATGAATGTATGATTTCAATGCAAATTTCATTAATTATTAATCCCTTAAGAAATCAATTTATTTAAAGATAAATATTTCTAATATCTAATTGTGTTTACAGTTCTTCGTGTTCTCCGAATTCAGTCTTTTCCTGGAAAATAATAAACCACTAATTGAAGCCATCAATCAATCAATTAATCATTAAATTACTACCTCTTCTTCTGCGTCCAAATTCTCGCTTTTGTCGCTATCTTTAGTCAAAGCAATGTCTTCGTCGTCGTCCTCGTCCTCAACCTATCAATGCATCCAAAAGTGGCTTAACGTTAGAATATGACCGTAGAGTCAACCAAAGGACTGAGTTATACCTGTGCGGACACATCCACTCCTAGAGTTTTCCTAAGAAGTGATTCCACTCTCTGTGCAAAGGAAGAGGTGTCGGACAGCATAAAACCCGATCTAAGAGTTGCCGTTTCATACATAAGTAGAGCCATGTTTTTGGCGACCGGATCCTCTCTGTCTCCTTCTATCCTTCGCAACAGCTCTTTGATGAGCGGATGTCTTGGGTTCACTTCGAGTGTCTTCTTTTGGCTTAAATAGAAGTCACGCATCGAGTCCTGAGACTTGGAGTGAGCGTTACTTCTGGCCAATCGTTCCATATTTCCCGTCCAACCGAACTGAGAAGCGATGAGAGCACAGGGAGAGTCGTGTAGACGTTGAGAAACACTTGCTTTGGATATTTGGTCCTTTAGCACGTCTTCAGTGAGCCATTTGGTCAACGGTTCCAATTCCTTCTCGAGCGCCTCCTCTTTCTCTTTAGACTTCTCACTGTCCGTCAGCTTCAAGCCATCTTTGGCCACGTTTTGGAATTTCTTGGACTCGAACTCCGGCAGAGCAGAGATGGTGTACTCATCGACAGCGTCCGTCAGATACAACACTTCGAAGCCTTTCTTGAGGAGGCGTTCGACGAATGGCGAGGTGGATACCTCCTCATAGGAAGTGCCGGCCATGTAGTAGATGTGCTCCTGTTTCTGCTTCATTCGCTTCACATAATCCGATAGTGAAGTCCACTTGTCTTTAGCCTCACTCGACGACCGGAAGCGCAATAGCTTTGCGAGACGTACTCTGTTGGCCGTGTCCTCAATCACTCCCAACTTAATGTTCGTCGAGTATTCCGACCAAAACTTATGGTAGTCTTCGTCTGATATCTTCTTAATCATATCCAATGCTTTTCGGACCAATTTCTTGCGAATCACTTTCAGGAGTTTGTGCTGTTGTAGTGTCTCTCTCGACACATTGAGGGGCAGGTCATCGCTGTCTACCACTCCTCTCATGAAATTCAAGTAATTGGGAACAATATCTTGGAAGTCATCGGTGATGAACACTCGGCGCACATAAAGCTTAATATTATCTGTTTTAGTGCCGTATTTGTTGAAAGTGTCCGACTGTTGTGTTTTGGGCACAAACAGCAACGACTTGAATGTCACCTCTCCCTCAGCAATGAAGTGAGTTTTGGCCAACGGTTCCGACGAGTCTTTAGTAATCGATTTGTAGAACTCGTTGTACTCATCGTCGGTGATCTCATTGGGCTTTCGCGTCCATATAGGCTTCGAACTGTTGATGAGATCCCAATCCCATATAGTCTTCTCCACTTTCCTGGTCTTGGGTTTCTTGTCCTCCTTCTCGTCTTCCACTTTCACCTCGTCTTCTGAATCGGTGCTCACCTCAGGAGTCGTCACTTCTATGTCTTCATCGATGGGTTCTTCGACAGTCTCTGTCTTACTCGACCACAAATAGATCTTGAAGTTTATGAATTGACTGTATTTGCGGATCAAATTCCTGAGAGTGTCTTCTTGTAAGAAATCTTTCGCCTCTTCTTTTAATGCCAGAGATATCTGAGACCCTCTCTTAAGAGTGTCCCCTCGGGGGTCCTCAACGACAGTGAATTGTGCCGAATCTGATTCCCAGATGTGCTGAATGGGGTCGTCGTTGTTCTTGGAGGTGACGACCACTTTGTCCGCCACTAAAAATGCCGAATAGAAGCCGACGCCGAACTGTCCGATCAAATCATTCATTTCTGAAATCTCTTTCGTTTCGCCCAATTTCTGCAGGAATTCAGAAGTGCCTGACTTTGCAATGGTTCCCAAGTTGGTGATCAGATCCCGTTTAGTCATTCCAATGCCGGTGTCTGTGATGTGAAGCATATTGTTGTCTTTGTCGGCCTTTATTCTGATGGTCAGCTCTGGTATCGAGTCTAATGCAGACGAGTCGGTGAGCGACAAGAGACGGATTTTGTCCAAAGCGTCCGAAGCATTGGATATGAGTTCCCTTAAGAAGATCTCTTTGTTTCGATACAACGAATTGATAATCAATTTCATCATTTTGTTCACTTCTGCCTGAAATGCAAACTTTTCGGCCGATTCTCGCATTTGCTTCAATTGGGACACCGATAGGCCCTCCAGTTTGATGGCCTCCTCCTCGCGCACCACCACCTCATCATCAGTATCATTTTGTTCACTTCTGCCTGAAATGCAAACTTTTCGGCCGATTCTCGCATTTGCTTCAATTGGGACACCGATAGGCCCTCCAGTTTGATGGCCTCCTCCTCGCGCACCACCACCTCATCATCAGTGCGCGACCCCTCACGTCCTGCGCCCAAGTCCTTGTCCACTGTGCCAGTCGTCTCGCCCTCAATGTCATCGTTGGCCACACATTTGTCTGAAGACAATGTAATACAGTGTCAGACAGTGGCAGACAGTGTCACTCAACACACACTCAATACTTACCAAATGTCATACTTAACAGTATAACCATTAAAGCTATTGAATATCTCCTCCATTGGTCTCCCATTTTAATTCAAGTGATGTTAGTTGTGATCGTAGCGATCAGCTTAGGATCAGTTGGCAAACAACCGGCGATTTCTGTCACTTATACAGTATTATACTTCACTTCTTACTGACACTTACAGTAAGTTATGATAAAACGCCCAATAATTACGACACCATTTACCACTTAATAGCCGTACAAAAGGTGGGCAAAGGGTGTGATATGTGGGCACATAATTGACATCCAATTGTTTATAATCGAATTACACACAAAGTATACTCGGTTATCAACAGTTTGTGTAATATATGGATTATGAACAGCATTACGATAAACAGTCGTTATCACCGCGCATATATGTTTTATGAGATAATCATGTTAAATTATTGGTAGCAAATATTAAATAATACTACTGTATCATTAAAGTAAAGTCAAATTATTCATATTGGTTAAATTGTTCATATTACAACACCATTAATATACTGTGATATACTGTATGATAATTATTATGTTTCAACATAACTCATGGACAAGCAAAACTACAGTAGGTTTTTGGCTTATATCTCTTGAACGCGGAATTGCATTTCAGATCTCACTTCAGAATAAATGAACAATTTTTTGATATATAAGGTTATATTTTCAACTTACCCGGTCACAAAGATATTTAATGTTGAATATTGACAAGAGTATTTTCGGAATCCTCATAGAAAATACATGGGGGTTTGATGCCATTTTCAGTATTTCGGTTTTACTTTGAAAATGTGAAAAATAGCTGTAGCCTGGCCATTTCATATGCGATTTTTAAATTTCAACGACCATTTTTCATAAAATAAAAATGCGTTTAATACGTGCTAATTAGTTTTTAAATTTTCTAAAATTTATAGTTTTAACTTTTTAACCATGGGTCCTAAAAACAAATCTGTAAACTGCAATTGAAAGAGCACAAAATCTAGTCTAGGCCCATTTGAAAAATAAATTTTAAATATTGTTTTTCAAACTCTGCTTGTTTATAAAACACATTTCTTTAAGTAAATAACTTTAAAAGTTTATTAATTTCTAAAATATTACCGAAAGTTAATTTGATAATTTTCTTTCAAATTAATCTAGACTAGATTTTTGTGCTATCTCTATTGCAGTTTACAGATTTGTTCAAGTTTTAAATTTTTAACCGTGGGTCCTAGAACAAATCTGTAAACTGCAATTAAAAGAGGACAAAAATATAGTCTAGGTCCATTTGAAAAATAAATTTTAAATATTGTTTTTCAAACTCTGATTGTTTATAAATCACATTTCTTTAAGTAAATAATTTTAAAAGTTTATTAATTTCTAAAATATTTCCGAAAGTTAATTTGATAATTTTCTTTCAAATTAATCTAGACTAGATTTTTGTGCTATCTCTATTGCAGTTTACAGATTTGTTCTAGGACCCATGGTTAAAAAGTTAAAACTATAAATTTTAGAAAATTTAAAAACTAATTAGCACGTATTAAACGCATTTTTATTTTATGAAAAATGGTCTTTGAAATTTAAAAATCGCATATGAAATGGCCAGGCTACAGCTATTTTTCACATTTTCAAAGTAAAACCGAAATACTGAAAATGGCATCAAACCCCCATGTATTTTCTATGAGGATTCCGAAAATACTCTTGTCAATATTCAACATTAAATATCTTTGTGACCGGGTAAGTTGAAAATATAACCTTATATATCAAAAAATTGTTCATTTATTCTGAAGTGAGATCTGAAATGCAATTCCGCGTTCAAGAGATATAAGCCAAAAACCTACTGTAGTTTTGCTTGTCCATGAGTTATGTTGAAACATAATAATTATCATACAGTATATCACAGTATATTAATGGTGTTGTAATATGAACAATTTAACCAATATGAATAATTTGACTTTACTTTAATGATACAGTAGTATTATTTAATATTTGCTACCATATTAAATTGTACTAATAGAGTATTTTGTATATACGCGCCACTATTGCTGACAAATAGCATTACGACAAGTATTAGGNACTATACTATTAGATGTGAAATACCGTACATTCATTCATAGTATTGTAGCAAATTTTTATAGCAAGATTGATGGAGTTTTTATAGCGGGTCGACGACTATAACCACCGATTTGGACACCTAAGACATCCCGCTAGATCATCCGATCTGGGTATTATTATTATACCATACCATACGAGTCGGTTTTAATTGCAATTAACGGAAACACTATCTGTTCGGGCATTGCCAATGTATTATAACTTTTATTATGATAAACTATTACTGTACGGAAATACAGTAACTAATCTTGATCAAGTTTTATAAAGTATTTGAAAATATATGTTGAAACATAATAATTATCATACAGTATACACAGTGTATTAATGGTGTTGTAATATGAACAATTTAACCAATATAAATAATTTTACTTTACTTTAATGATACAGTAGTATTATTTAATATTTGCTACCTTATTAAATTGTACTAATAGAGTATTTTGTATATACGCGCCACTATTGCTGACAAATAGCATTACGACAAGTATTAGGTATATAATGTGTTTGACAACTATTGGCTCATATGAAACACACATTAAGCT